GAGAAAGCCTCTGTGAGTGTAAGGAAGGCCAACAGTTTTTTGTTTTGCAGGTCTGATGCAGCAGGAAGAAGCAGGAGCAGCGATTCGAAGGTTTCTTGTGAACAGCGAGAGATTATTGGTTCGAAGACCATTATCGTTTCTATAATCAACAGGAAAGAACGCGTGTATCGAATTCAAGCCCAAGTCTTGCAAAAGAGATGGTTCATCTTCATGAATGATACTCAGATTTCCTGGTTACAAGGTCTCCTTCAATCAGCTGCTATGAAAGAATGGTTTTTTCCCCGTAACTGTGTTCTAAGAAGTGGCGGGCGAAGCATTCATGTTGGAATAACCTCCTTCCAGAATACTCAACACCTACAGATTTCTGAACAGAGGATGAACGGAAGAGTTCATAAGATACTGATTCCATCGGTTGGCGGGTGGGCAAAATTCACCTATCTACTTCAACGATTCTATGCTACCGAACTCCAAGAACGCCTCTGGTCTTCCTACAAACCCGACAATTTTCAAATCCCCCCACCACCAGGGCAATCCCCCATTGATTCAAGATCATATGCAGAGGTGGTTAAAGGTGGGGGATTTTACGCTGCTGGTAATTGCAGGATTGTTAGACAGGGCAAAGAGAGCTTTATCAATGTGGAAGCAGAGGGCGTCCAGAACAGACGTGAATTGTTGGGAAGATGTCTCATCATCAACTTCCGATCCTCTGACAACTCTGAATATTTTTTGGCTGAAGATATCCATAGTTTCAGGGACTGGGCTTCAAAGTTCTGGTCAATTGACAATAATTATGGGTTGGAAGACAGGGGAGATGGAAGCTGGCTACTTGTTTGCCCAAACTTATCTCAAGCTCTGCGGATTAAGAGTCTCAGACGATACAAATACAAGAATTTTGATATCTCAGTCTCTGAATGGAAAGAACGTGAAGTTCCTACCAGCTCCTCGGATGTCTGGATCCTAGTTTTTGGCATCCCTCTTCATCTGAAAAGCATTAATCTTTTGAAGGCTATTGGAAACTTTTGTGGATCGTTCATTGAAATCGACTGGGAGTCTTGGAGCCTGCAGTTTGTCCGAATCAGAATTAAAAATAGAGGACCGATTCCTCACTTGGTTCCAATTAGGTTTGCCTCTGAAAGCTTCATGATCAACATCGTCTCGCCGCCGGCGACCCCTGGAATTCCCGACGAGGCTGCCTCCACTATCCGAAATAATCAGAAACTGAGTCATAGTCCTCGTTTATTGGAAGGCTCTTCATCTCATGCTAATCCTGTCAATCCATTGGGCGACTCTGCTCGTAGCAAGAAAACCGAGAAAAGCAGCAGGAACGAACAGTCAGGCAGAGTACTCAAAAGGATTTGGATCCGAAAAGAAGGCCCTGTATGGGTTGGGCCTATTAGCTCGCCCCCCTCAAGCCCATCCTTTCATTCTGATCCATCTGATTTAGCTATTGCTCAGACTATTTGTGATTCCGACCCAGTCCTTATTCCCATAAACCGACCCCCAGAGAATCATCTTCTAACATTAGTTCGTAGATTCCTTTTCCAGCCCTCCACCTTCCCTCCCCAGAATCTCTTCTCCATTCCCTCTTTGAGCTTTCATCCTCAATCAGCCTCACCTTCAATCATCACTTTGCTCCACCAACCTAATCTAAATCGATTTGTAATCTCTTTTGTCCCCCAACCCCCTTCATTGAGAACCATTGATCCCCTCCCTAGTCTTCCCTGTCCTGTTCAGCTCCTATCGTCCATTAGCAGTCCCTGTTCATCTTCCGAATCAGAACTTCAAGCAAATTTAATCATGGAAGACAACACCTTTATCCAATCCCAGGTTCCTCTTAGCCCTGATGCCTATCTCGATCAGGGGTTACCTGTTTCATCTTCTGTCACTCTAAGCGACCTTCCCTCACCTTCCTGCTCAAAAGAAGACGAAGATACAGAATGGAATATGGAAAATTACCCCTTTGATTATCTGACGCTAGTTGAAGCGAGCATAAACCTGAGTAGAATTTTCTCTCTGGAAAATGATGAAGGTGAAGAAAAAGCAGAAGAGGCGATTATTGAAACTGCTAAAGATATGCATCGTAAGAAGGTGAGAACTCCACGTTCCAGACTTGAAATGGAAAAGCACAGACTAGGACCTCATTTCTCTCCTCCCAAAGGTCCGAGAAAGAGTGCTAGCAGGTTGGACAGATCCTCTCAATCTTAGTATCATGGGTGTTTCAATCATATTCTGGAATGTAAGAGGATTAGGAGATTTCGAAAAAAGAGGAAGGATTAAGCGCCTGATTGCGAAGCATAGACCTCAGATTGTTTCTTTATTTGAAACCAAATGGAATGAGTGCAATGACACTATGGTGGCTGGAGTAAGCGGAAGAAGAGACATGGGTTGGATCACCAAAGATGCTAGGGGAAGTTCAGGAGGCATTCTGGTTTATTGGGATAAGCAGGTCTCCCAATTAGTTACTTCAAGAGAAGGCAAATGGTTTCTTGCTACCGAGTTTATTGATTTAGCAAGCTCCTCTTCTTGGCATTTGATTTCTGTCTATGGCCCTCAAGAAAAAACAGATAAACTCTCGTTCCTTGAAGAGCTACATGTCTACTATGAACAAGCTAATGCCCCTATCTGTATTGGGGGTGACTTCAACCTGGTGCGTAACCACGATGATTATCAGGGAGCAAGGCGCAGTACTGATCTCATGAATGAATTCAATTGGTTTATTGATAATAACCAACTGATGGATCTTCCTCTGAAGGGCAGCCTATTCACCTGGAGTAGGGGTTCAGATAGCATGTGTTTGTCTCGTATTGATAGGGTTCTAGTCTCTCCTAATTTTGATACTAAGTTTTCGGACTGCTCACTTACAGCTCTTGATCGAGTTGAGTCAGATCACAATCCCTTGCTCTTAAGATGGGGTGACGATAGAAGAGTTAAAAGGCCTTGGCGCTTTGAAAACATGTGGCTTGAAGACAAAAGATTCTATGAAGGTTTGAATACTTGGTTGAAGATTCCCATTGAGTGTTCTAGTTTCTCCTTCCTTTGGTGTAAGAAGCTGCAGGTTATCAAACAAAAACTCAAATCGTGGAACAAAGATGTTTTTGGTAACATCCACAAAAGGGTTGATGATATTCTGAGTAAGATTCACGAGATTGATATCTTTGAAGAAAACAGACCTCTTGATAGTGATGAAGTAATTGAAAGATGTGTTCTTAAAGTCGAACTTGCTCATTGTTTAAATATGCAAGAAATTTGTTGGAGGAAAAAGTCGAGGGAGACTTGGACTCAAAAAGGGGATAGCAATACAAGGTATTTTCATCGCATTGCCAACTACAGGAAGAAGTTCAATTCTATAGACCGTATTAGAGTGCAAGGCATCATGATGGAGGGTTCTCAGGAAGTTGCTACGGGTATTCTTGGATTCTACATGGATCTCTTTAAGGAACAGATTCCTTCCACACCTTTCCCCAGTGTTTATTTCGGCTGCAGAATCAGTGATTCCGAAAAATCAGATCTTTGTCATCCTTTCAGTGAAACGAAAATCTGGGCTGCTTTGATGGACAGTGATGGATCCAAGGCTCCTGGGCCTGATGGATTCACTTTTGACTTCTATAAGAGATGTTGGATGATGATTAAACCCGACATTGTCAATGCATTTGTGGATTTTCATGCTTCTTGCCAGCTTCCTAAGACAGCTTCGCACTCTTTCATCTGCTTGGTCCCGAAGAAGGACGCTGTTGAAGATGTCAAGGACTTAAGACCAATTGGGTTAATGGGAAGCTTCAATAAACTGATCAACAAAGTTTTATCAAGGAGATTGAGTAACATCCTTCCTAATTTAGTGTCTGTTCATCAACAAGCTGCTGTGAAGGGGAGACAAATATCTGAAGTTGGTCTCATTGCTAATGAGCTGGTGGATAGCAGGAGAAGAAGCAGGAAGCCTGGTCTTATGTTCAAACTCGATATTGAGAAGGCCTATGACAATGTCAATTGGGGATGTCTTTTCAAAATTCTGAGTAAGTTTGGTTTTCCTGATTTATGGATAAGATGGTTGAAAAAGGCTGTTTGCTCCCCTCTCATCTCTGTGCTGGTTAATGGAGAAGCTTTTGGTTATTTTCCAGCGTCTAAGGGTCTTAGACAAGGGGATCCCATCTCCTCAGCTCTCTTTGTTCTGGTTATGGATGTTCTTTCATTCATGCTATCTAAACTCAAAGCTGAGAATAAAATCAGTGGTTTCTTCATGAATGAAAGACTTCAACAAGGTGAAGTGACACATCTTTTATTTGCGGACGACACTTTGATATTCTGCGATGTTTCCCACGAGCAGGTTATCAATATCTTGTCCACTCTGGTGTGCTTCCAAGCAGTTACTGGACTTAAGATTAATCTGGAGAAATCAGTAATGTATACTGTTGGAGATGTCCCAGAGCCTAGCTTCTATGCTAATATTTTTGGTTGCAAATGGAGCGCGAATCCTCCTAAATACCTTGGATATCCTCTTGGAGCGAAGCCTAATGCATCAGCAATATGGGAGCCTATTATAGCTAAATTCAAGAAGAAACTTGAAGGGTGGAAAAGCAAGTATTTATCAACAGGAGGAAGACTTGCCCTTAATAAGTCAGCTCTCACCAGTCTTCCTGTCTACTACTTTTCTCTTCTCAAAGCTCCTAAGAAAGTAATCGAAGACATGGAAGCTATACAGAGAGACTTTATTTGGAATGGTAACAATGATAGTCGGAAATCTCCACTTGTGAACTGGGATCTTTGCAAGACTCCTAAAGCTAAAGGTGGATTAGGAATCCGAGATCTTGCTTGCTTCAATTCCGCCTTATTAGTGAAGTGGCTTTGGAAGTTTGCTATTGAGAAGAATAGCTGGTGGAGGGAATTGATAAATACGAAATATCCGAATGACCTTTCCCACTGGCAGACTACTCGGATAAGTTCTGGATATTCAAGTTCTGTGTGGGCTAATATTGCAAAAGAATACAATCTATTCTGGAAATACACTCTCATTGAACCAGGAAGTGGAGGGCACATCTCTTTCTGGTACGATAATTGGTCGTCGACCTCGATCCTCGGTGTTGACTACCCAAGAGTTGCTGCTGCTGCTATCGAACCTGCCGCTCGGATCAACGACATGGCCTCCTTCACTGATAATGAGGTAACCTGGAACATTAACTTGAGAGTTAGCTTGAGAGGGGGAGCGGAGAGAGAAAGAGAGAGACTTATGTTATTCTTAAATTCTAGAAATGTGTTTCTTGCTCCTAACAGTCCTTGCAGGATCACTTGGATTCCGAATCAGGAAAAACGTTTTTCTGTCAGCTCTGCATATGAACAGCTTACCATTGAGAAATTCCATGGATTCCAGAACTTTGAGGCGTCATATATTTGGAAGCCCTTCATTCCCAGCAAGATTTGTTTCTTCATATGGACTCTTTGGCTTAAAAGAATCTCCACTTTAGACGTTGTTAAGAGAAGAGGGACGCACCTTGCTAATCGCTGCACCCTTTGCTACAAGGAGGAAGAAAATGCTGATCACATCTTCACCAAATGCGAATTTATACAGGATACTTGGAGTTTTATCAAGAGGAAGAAGAGCTACATTGGCAATTTGCATGGAGATGTATCTGCTGTCATTGGCAATAGACCTTCACTGTCCCCCAACAGCATGGATGAATGGTTCAATATCAGTATTCTTCATGCTCTATTTTGGTCAGTTTGGTTACAGAGAAACCAGAGGATGTTCAAAGATTCTGGTACTACCGCCAAGATCATTGCTAGAAAATCAGTCAAGATGGTTGTGGTTTGGCTTACTGCTCATCACAAGATCGACAAGGAGCATGCGGTTACTTGGCTTGCTGAGTTCTTATCCTAGTTTTAATGCCTTGGTTGCCTGCTTTCTGGTGTACTTTCTGTTTGTCTGTTGATTGTAGTTGGTTTACAGCAGGGTCAGTTCGGTCTGATTTGCTGTTTTTTCTTTTGTTGATTGGCAGGAACGGTTCCCAGTCCGTTTAGCCATTTCTCCTTTCTTCCTCTATTTCATTTTATTTTCTGTCTTCTTCTTTTACATGTCTTGCGGTCTGGTTTGTTTGGGATCCTGGTTCTTCCCTCTTGAACCATTTCCCTGGTTGTGACTTCTTTTTGTTTTGCTTCTCATTAATAAAATCACCATTATCAAAAATTGAACTATTCAATAAAATTATCAATTAAATATAAATAAAGTAAAGTAAAGTAATGTATTTGGTAATTTGATGTTTTTAAATGAAGAGGGAAATTTTGGTGTATTCAAGTTTTTGGGAAGAGAAAGAAGAGGGAAATTTAGTTATTTGAATTTTTTAGAAAAGAAACAAGTGGGAATTTTGGTGGTTTTGATATGTGAGAAAAGAAAGAAGTGAGAAAGTTTGATTCTTTTGATTATGAAAGAGAAATAAGGAGGAAAACTTTTGAGTTTTCAACTTTTTGTAGAAGGAAAGAAGAGGGTAATTTGGTTCTTTCAATTTTATGGAAGAAAAAGAGGAGGGAAAATTGGGTTTTCTAATGTATGGAAGTAGAAAGAATGAGGAAAATTTTAGTATTTTTGTGAAAAGAAAGAAGGAAACAAATTTGATGTTTTCAATTTTTTGGTTTTTCATAAATTTAGCTTTTGAAATATGAATCTTTAACTATTATATGGAGGGCATGACTAGTTAAAATTATTCTTATATGCTTTGAAGGCTAATATATATATATGTATGTAATTGTTTATGGGCTAATAAATAAATTAACCATTAGTTACAACAATTTATACTAAACTTGATAAGTAATCTTTGACGGTTTGTTGTTTAGGATATAAAGTATATGGTTAGGGTATATGGTATAAGGTACATATGGTTTAGGGTGTATATGGTTAGGGTATAAGATATTGATGGTTTTGACGGTTCCAAGTTTTTTATTAACATATGTTCACTTGAAGTCATTTGAAGTCTTTAACGGCAGGAGATCCCTTTTTAATTTATGTTTATGGTATGTGGTGTAAAGTATAGGATATATGGTTAAGTATAACAATTAGCAAATATCACTTTTTATCTATGTTTTGAAAATCGAAGTATGAATTTCACTTTTAAATTAACTATACCAGCAAAATCACAACTCAAAGACATATGGTTAGGGTATAGGGTATAGGTTATGTGGTTAGTGTATAATGTATTGATGTTTAGGGTATACAATCAACAACATATACTAACTTAATATTGTTGATTGAGGGTAAGGCTAAGTGTATAGGATATATGCTATTGAGTAAGTTATGATTGAAGTTACAATAATTTTACTAAATTTGATAGCTAATCTTTAATGGTTCAATTTTTAGGATAATTCGAACAATTTTATAAATAACTCGTTTGGCAACAGTTTACTGAAGTTATTTGGGCAATGAGTTATTTCGAAATAACTCCTTTTATCACTATGATTTTGCCAAATACCACACGCCAAATACCAGATTTGCATGGTTATACTAAACGAGATACTTTAATCCAATTATTACTGAATTAATACTAAAATATGAAATAAACAATTAATGGTGTCTTTTGGTTGCAAATATTGATATCACCATTACTATTAGCTATAATACTTTACCAATTATGATTAATTACATAACAAGTTTGCAAGTCATACAAATTGATTTAACATTTTGACTAGTTTTTTTTCAAAAAAATAAAGTATATATATACGAGGTAGAAATAAATTGGTTAAATAGTTGAGAAAATATTTTAAATTAGTGTAATAAAATGTGTAAGTTGGTAATGAGTAATGAGTTAAGTTACTTGATGCGCTGGCCCGAACAACCCGAAGCCCGATCTGCCCGCAACCCGCCCGAACCAAAACCCGATGAACCCGTAACCCGATTGAACCCGAACCCGATGAACCCGCAAAACGACTAACGCGCAACTCATTTGAACCCGTACCAGATGAACCCGAACCCGTTGAACCCGCAACCCGACTAACCCGCAACCCGTTTGAACCCGAACCCGATTAAATCCAGCCCGAACCCACCCGATTGACACCTATAGATGCAATAGTGTAGGAATAAAGATCCAAGGGTAACGGGTTGATCAGCCCAAAGTGGGTATACATGAGCTTAAATAAAAACCTCCACAGCCAATTTATGACCTACGGTGAACAGTATCCCGAAAATTTCTTAATGGACAGTAACTCCGAATTTTTGGGAACTTGGGACTTAATAATTTTAATAATAGGAATGCGACGTGGTAATTCAGAGGCTATGGTGAAGGCCAACCAGGTGACTTTGTGAAGTGCTCGAATGGATTGGCTCTATAAATAAGGTGACTGTAAAGGGGTAAATTCTACGCCTTGCGGTTTTCAAGTATTTGATTTACGTTATGCATGTGAAGTGTTTGATTCGTGTTTGAGATTGCATGTTGTGTTTGATTATGCATGCTTCGATTTAAGTTATTGTTTGAGCATTTCAATATCTACGATTAAGCATTTAAGTTTTTGTTTGTATGATATTTAAGGACGAGTGTATATAATACTTCACCGCTTGATAAGTTATGGTGTTAAGAGTAAGAGAAACTCACGCGGTAATAGGTAACCTTGCTTAGCTAGCCACTAGCTAGATAGATCCCTACCGGACAGTGATAAGTTCTGCGGTAAATGACCGCTACTGGATGGTGATACGTTTCACGGTAGTTGGCCAGGCATGCATGCGAACGGTGATGAATTCCACGGTTTCCATTGCCTAGGTTTAGGTGTGCTACCAGATGGGGATACGTTCCGCGGTAGTCACACCGTAGTTTGACACCGGATGGTGATTCGTTCTGCGGTGGTCAAACCCATGTGATTCGTTCCTTGAATATATCTTTGATCTGGAATCTCTGACCCGTTTTTGGTCTGATGCTTGGATTGCACAGGTACCCTTGGAGGAGCTAGATACCGTTCCGATCCGATCCTAGAGGATGATAGAAATGCCACGATCTCAGCATTCGTGGACGAAGAAGGAACCTGGAGTATCGAGAAATTCAGCAACATACTCCCGGCCGAGATTCTACACCGCATTACAACTGTTGCCGTGGACCCACTTGCATCAGATGAAGACGTTTTGTTTTGGAAGCATACCTCGGATGGCCGTTTCTCAACCAAGAGTGCCTTCCACCTCCTTCAAGCAACTACATCCAATGAGCAGGCCAAAGTTTGGAAAGCACTATGGAGGCTGGAGGTCCTGGAACGAATTTGCTGTTTTATGTGGTTAGTCGCCAACAACAGGATCAGCTCCAACGAACAGCGAGCTAAACGACACCTCTAAGCCATCTCATCTTGCTATAAGTGCGAGACTCAGATATAAACTACTTTGCATATACCCAGAGATTGCCCCCCAGCCGCGTTTGTCTGGCGCGTACAGTTCCAGTCGACCAACAACACGAAGTCTTTAGTATGTAGTTGGATCAATGGCTCGCCACCAATTTGCAGAAAACTGATTAAGTACGTGCCGGATACTCCTTGAAATGCTTTTTTCAGTATTGCTATCTGGAATCTCTGGAAAAACAGGAATGAAGGCGTTTTCAAAGGGGAAGAGAAGACGTTGTCGTCACCATCTCTGGTGCAAGCTATAAAGATCAAAGCTAAGCTATGGTACAAGGCGTGGCTGGCGCCAAAAGACAACCTTGGATGCAGACCCGCTCTGGTGCAGCGTGTGACCAAGGAGATCAGCTGGATCCCGCCCCCGCCGGGTTGGAACAAACTTAATGTTGATGGAGCAGCAAATGGTGTTCATGGTCCTGCGAGAGCTGGCGATATCTTGAGAGATAACCAGGGAAGATGGGGTCGAGGCTTTGTTGCAAAGCTGGGTGCTTGCTCGGCGGTTCAAGCAGAGCTTTGGGGCATATACCATGGGCTTGGTTTGGCCTGATAGAGCGCCAACAGAACTTTAATTGTAGAGACGGACTCCCAACTAGCTCTTCAACTCATTGACAAGAGGGATGATCCTCTTCATCCTCTCGTGACTCTTCTGACGGCAATCAGATGTAGACTTGCCCAAGATTGGGTGGTACGTCTTTGTCATACTTACCGGGAAGGGAATAGAGTCGCAGACTGACTCTCGAAGCACATTCTTGTCTATCCCTACAATAAGTAGGACTTAGACACACCATCTCAAGCACTTCAAACCATCATTGATGATGATATCAGAGGCCAATGTTTTCCCAGGAATGTTGTCAATCCCCCTGGGTCTCACCCCCTGCTCTAAAGCTCTCCTCTTTTTCCTTGTAATTTCTTCTTCTTTGGCTGCTAGGACTGGGGATGGCAGTGGGACGGGTTGGTTCGGGTTTTGCCAAACTCAAACCCATGGGTTTATCCGTGAAAAAAATCCGGGGTAAA